TAGATATGTGTGTGTGAGTTTAAATATTTCCGGGTGTGTGTGTGCGTGTATTTTTATTAATGTACAAACAGTAACGTTTCTTCTTATTCTTATTACTATTTTTCCCCATCATGTTTATGTGTGTGTGTGTGTGTTTGTCTTACTACTTTTCATTTTAGATATCATTTATTCTTGGTCGCCCCCCTCCATCCCCTTCCCCCCTGTCATCTAGTCGTCATTACGATTTTCACTCCGCAGAGCACACACCGGTAACTTATTATTTTTATTATTGTTATTATTATTATTGCTTGCTATATTGTAGCAAGACAACATACCTAGCTAGTGGTGACAGCGACGGAACGTCAACGTCATAGTCACTGGCATAGCCGCGCTGTAGCGGCAGTGCAGCCGGCTGAGCTCTAAGCATTCTGTGGGTTTTTCTTTTTAGAGTCGCGCGTTGTCGTTGAGCCGCCATACACAAGACACTCAGTCAGCCGCAGTCAGTTTTCGTTATTGGATCACCGAGTCGGTTGTCGTTACGTTACGAGTTTTATTATGACGTTTCGTATTGCCGCCGCATAATTTCTTCTTCTCGGTTTGTTGATGATAATAACTTTTTTGGATATATTTTTTTTTTATTTTCCGGATTAGTTTCCTTGAAACTATTTGTGTGGGAGTGTGTGTACGGTGGTTTTAATTATTTTATTTAAAATAATTAATTATTTATTGTGTGTATGGATTTAATTATTTAATATTTAAAAATATAAATAAAAAATGTGCGTGTAAATTAAAATAAATATTAAATTTTAATAAAAATTAAAATAACAAAAACCAAACAGGAAAATTAAAATAATTTAAAAAAATACAAGAAAAAAAAACAAAAAATTAAAACGAAAAACAAAATCCATATCTACCAACCCTGCAGAATTGTGTGAAAGAAGATGGATACTACTAATTCCTTATTCACATTAGTGTTCTTGTTGTTGTTGCTGAAAATATATAATTTCCTTGTGTTGTTGTTGTTGTGTACTCATACTCATTTGGTTTGTTGTTGGTGTGTGGCATGTGATAAATTGTTTGCCAAGTTCTTTGTTGCAGCAGCGACAGCACCAACTGCTGCTGTTGCTGCTGCCGCCGGTTTTTTTTTTTTTGCCTTCATTATTTTCGCATAACATTTCCACATTCTTTGGTGTGGCGTTCGGGTTCTTCTGGCAACAACCCACATCCAAATTCAACATTTCGGTTCGTTCGTTGTGTTTACTGTTCGATTCGTTGGTTTGATACGTTTTGCAGCGGTATGATACACACTTGTTGTTGATATTTTGTTGATTTCAATGCATTGTTCTTATGAGTTTGTGTGTGTGCTTTGACCGGATTCCAGAGATGGAAAATTGTAATTCGTAATCGAAATAAATCTTTCAAAAAGGATACAGAGTTCAAAATAAGTCATGTGTATTTTTTATGAAAAATTTAAAAAAAATTTTAAGTTCGACTAGGCCAAACTTTTTATACCCTCCACCATGATGTGTACATTATACATGACAAAAACCTATCGGAGCTTTTATATGACCATTTCGTTTGAAAAACTTGGCTAAAAACCCCAAAGTTCCGAATAATGAGAGGAGCCTACCCCCGAAATTTTAGTCAATGAGAATTCGAATATTTTGAGGTACCGTTATTTGAGAGCTATAACTGTATATGTATACAGACGAATGTTCAGACGGACATGACTAAATCAATGTAGACTTTTAATGTGATCAAGGTTTATTAAGGTATCTCGAAAAATTTCACCATCAAACCATCAAAAATCGGTTGAGACATTTAAATAGGAACTATGCTATTGGAAATTAACTACCATGAGCTTTGTGTCTTCTATGTAAAACAATAACTTAACTATTCACAAAGAACCTGTAATGCAAAATTACAGCCAATATTGTAAATTACCCTAAGACAAGGAAAATTGGGCGGGACCTTTATAGGAGGCTATGCCAAAACTGCCTATTTCAGCTGGGAACTCTTTTACACACCAGTTAACCAGAATGCCAAATAACACCATTTCGGATCTAAGCGGGATCAAAAAACATCTAAATTTAAGCGGAATATTTATATCGAATCTATCTCAAAATAGATCTTGTGTTAAAAATGTTTGGTTTTACCCGAAATGTCTAAATACAACCAATTAGCTTAGAAAATACGCCTAGGACTATAAAAATACATAATACATGGCGGAACAATTAAAGGAGGCTATGTCAAGTAATGAATCAATACCATAAATTTTCTGCAAAGAAGTCACGTCCGTTGAGAAATGAGTTTAGGACCTTGAAATAACTAAAATGGGCCGGCAATATATCTATTAAAGCCTTGAGAATTGTATTGACCACTAGAAACCTCAATAAATATAGGAGAACTATTACATGTATCTTAGAACATGTGTTTATAGTCTTGGTAACAGTTTTCACATTAACTATCTTTCTGCTAGAAATTTGTCCTGGATATGACTTTTTGTAGACGCTCTGAAAGTTGCATGATTTTAGTGTATTCAAATTTCGTTATAGAAACCACAATTTTATGTACCCGATATTACTACAGCTGCCCCATAATGAAGAAATCCCATGTTTGCCCATATCATTTCGTTCTCCGGGATTGGGCATCTCACAATTGTCATTACACTGTGTTTTGTATAAAGATTTGGGTCTTAAGGCTTATTAAATTCAGTTAATACAAGAACTCAATAAACAAGGTCGTATCATTATGATTGAGTCCTTCAAATGCATTGAAAATTGTACGGAATTGCATTGAAAATCATCATGACTAAAAACTCATCGCAAAAATCAACAGTTATTAATGAGATGACGACTCTGTATACCATACAAGGAACGAACCCTTTGTTTTTGTAAATGGGATTATCGGTCTACGTTTTGGTGTAGCCCCAATATAACGGTATTCCCAAAATTTGGCATTCAGAAGAATTCTTATAAATTTTTGGATATAACGGTATCCAATAATTTTCGTATTTTAGTGGATTTAGACACGTTTGATAACATAAATTGGTTATAAATTAATATTTAGCGTTCTCATTTGGTGGAAAATATCATTACCAAAAATTAGGAGTATTGACTTAAGTTTCCGATATTTTGGTGATTCGAAAAAATGGCTCTTTTTTGATATTTTAGTTTCCCTTTGAGTGTCAAAATTTATCAATATCGGTGCATTTTTATACCCTGCTCAACTATGTGTCAGAGTATTGTAACTTTGTGTGGCCCCACGAGTTTATAACGCTGCGAAATATTGGTCATAGACCCACCGATCATCATATCTCGACTAGCTGAGTCGATCTAGACATGTGTGTCCATTATAATTTTTAAACACGATACAGGCAACACTTATGGAAATGTTTATTTAATGTTTAGGGGATGAAATTAACCAAATACTTAATTTTTGCAACTATAATCCGAACATCACGAAATTTTATGGTGTATATATTTACTGCTGAAGAACATAGACCGGAGTGTTGTCAGTATATCGGATGTGGAGTTATACGTAAATATTTACAGGGGTCTATCTATACACATATTATTTATTATTACCATTACCACACTGGAGGGCGGAAATGTAGCGCTAGGAAATTTTCCTGGAAGTTATAACTGGACGACGCATGACGATCTGATGATATTTAGGGGATGAAAAGATCCGAAAACTTTTTTTATCCATAATTATAAACCAAACATCACAAATTTTCCTTATGACTTATATTGAGAGGGTCAAATGAACCGAGACTTTTGTGTATAAGATACTAATGTTGGAATCCTATGGCGTAAATGTTCACTCTGGATTCGGAAATGATGCCAGTGTAAGAATGTGTAGCAGTTAACCTCTAGTCGGTTAAGAATGTGCAAATGTCGCGAAATATTACCAAGACGCGGAATAGAGATTCGAAGAACATAAAAGTTCATCGATAATTGTGTAGGGTATAATATGATCGGCTCCGTCCAAATATACTGCTCCCCTCACTGATTTTGTATAGGCTTCATATTACGGTATTTAATACCAATTTTCTGCAAGTCTAACTATGACAGACCCCTTCTATAAATCCCGATCGATTTTAGTTATACTGAAAGTCCATATCGTAGTGAGGAGTAAAACATGTTCGACTCAGTCGAAATTGATTGTCGACTTTTTAACTTGTTATAGTCTCGAAGGTACAAAAACAATGAACTCCCATCCCTGTCTGGTTGTGTTGTGTTTTGTTCTTATTATTCCGAAGTTCGTTCACATGCATAAAACATGTTGTGCATCATACATGTCACAATACCCACTCAAACCTAGAGAATCACACAACCAACCAATTTTCCAACATCAAAACGACGTAATGCGATGTTGTCTATCATTCCATATGTTTAGTTGCGACAGTTCGATAGGTTAAACTTGAAAATAGAATAATCTCCTTCAGCGACAGCAGCTGCAACAACAATAAGAATAAGGAAATATTACAACAATATCGCGTGTTAAGGAAGATACAATTGCTTTTGTAACATTCTAAAAAAACGAAACGAGAAATTATTATATATTTTTTTATTATTTCAGTGTGTTGTTTTTTACCACTTGTCGGATATCATCTGAAAACAATAATAATTTGCAAATCCCACAACTAAAACCATTCCATCCAACCTTTACCAATACAAATTCACATTGATTTATCATCAAACATAACAGAGTGTCGCATTGTAACCACAAAATTTATCTCGTGAAAGAGAGGCAGTGAGAGTGAAGTGCGGAGCAAATCAATGAGAAAGGTCATCATCATTACAAGAGATCTTTTTATTGATTGACAAGTGTTCGTACGCAGCCATATTAAATAATAACAAAAAAAACAAAAAAAATAATAAAACAAAAATAAACAAAAGTGCAGGAAATAAAGAGAGAGAGAGTGTGTTTGCGAGAGAATTATTTGCAAATGAGTGTGATGTGCCAATGTAGTTGTGATATAATCAAACAATAACAGTCATTTAAATGTCATCAATATGGATACAGCAACAGCAGTAGCAGCAGCAACTACAACGACGACAACAAAAACGTCATTGTCGTCGACATCACCATCGTCATCATTATCGTCGCCAACACCACCAATACCAACAACAACAACAACAGCTGCAGCGACAGCAAATGTTCAATTATGTCGCATTTGCATCTCATCGAATGTGAATTGCAGCACTCAAATGATTTCGATATTTGGCGAAGATTCATTATGGCGAAAAATTACAACATTGGCCAATGTTCAGGTGGGTAATTTAATATGCAATGCATACAATAACAACAGTTCTGCTGCTTCTTCTTCTCCTTCGTGTTGTTGTTGACGATGATATTATTATTATTTTTATTGTAATATTATTGTCTCACAATTTACCTTGTTCGTTCGTCTATTCGTTCGTTCAGTCGTTGGATTTTTATTTTGTCTACGTTTATTATAAATTGATATACAATTTCTGTTGTTGTTATTGTTATCTTATTTTTCTTTTAGCGTTTTCATTTACATTTTATTACAAATAATAATAACAACAACAAAGCATAACCACAAAATACTGAACTATTTTACATTATTGTAGTTATCTACGAATACAACAACAACCCGAGTACAATATTAATTCATTTAGTATGTATCTATAAATTGTATACCGCTATGTAGATATGTTTGTAGGTATGGTGTGTATCTATCTGGTAGATTTGTAATTAATTAATTATGGCAATGGGAAGTCGATAGAATTGAAACGACGACTTACAGTGTGAGAAAAAACGAAATAATAAATCTTGTTAATGTTGTGTGTGTGTATCTTATAAATATGCGTAATGAACAATTATACAATTGTGTGTATTCATTGTGAAAATATTCTCAATATTGAGATTAGTATTTCAATAATAAATCAATTTTATTTTTTTTTCAAAATTGAATTTTTTAAATGAGAAAAAAACTTTAAATGGAATAATTAAAAAATTGATTAGGTATCAGTATAAAAATAAACTATTTAAGAAGTTAAAAGTACATGAAGTTCGAAAATAGTTATATGATAGAGATTATTATATGGAGCAATGAGAGTATTACATGGTGACACCGAATGTGAACCCATAATATAAAATTTCGCCCAGTGAATATTTTAAGGTATTGCAAACGGAATGACAAATTTAATATACACTCCGACGTATTGTGTAGGATACAAAATACCTTTAACGGAATATCAAAAAGTAAAAAACGTTGACCATAAGGTGGACATTAAAAATACCTTAAATAGATCGGGACTTTCATATTTGGGACTATACCATGGTAAATTTTTGGTACCAAAAGATGCCACCCAATAAGAACCCATATCAAATTAGAGCCAAATTGTTTGAAAACATGCCCAAAATACGACATAATTGAAGGTACCGTTATGTGTGGTCAATATTAATAAATTTTGGAGGAAGATTTTATACCCCATCAGAATCCGATCTCCCCAAAATACAGAACTTTGGGAGATAAATTTATATGGTGGTTGTAGTAGGCAGATTTGCTACACAAATATCATAGTCCGTCAGCAATATAGTACAACAACAGCGTTGCACGCCATCCTCACACACACCGCCGAGGACTAAACCAAATCCGCTCTTTCCCTAGAACAGTATTGTTAGAGCTTGATCAAAAGCTTTTGAAATCGTGCCACATTGTTTAAGGGCTTCGAAAAAACTTCCCTCCGGCCAATTTTTAAAAGTGGTAAATCAATTATATGTATGCCATACGAGTATTTCCGAAATAAAAATTTTCAGCCCGGTAGATTGAAGCACTGAGTTCATCAGGGTTGGGTGATGTCTCCGGAGTTTTTCAGCGACCCCAGACAGCATTGAGATCGTTACGTATCCACTGTGAGGCCATTTGAGAAAAAAGCGACAACACAAACTCTTAGGGCGTTGTTTACGAACAAGAAATCACTTCGATGGCAGTGTTGCCATTTTGAACATTTCGGACCAAATTTGGACCGAGAAACAAATATATTTTTAATTTGGTCCGATGGTTCGCCATTTCAGTCCATTTTCATTTGCTATTATATTAATTTAGGAAATTTCCACTTGAATTTTCAATGTTGGTCCGAAAATCCGATTTTGGACGCCTTTTGTGTACATTTTAGACCGATTTTTTTTTGAAGGGCAGCATTGTTCACCACGTGGACTGCTTAGATGAAAATGACAGAGAATATACATCTAGAGCCATACAATTCCGACTATCAAAAAGCCCAAAATTTCACAAATCTTTCGCTCAAACCACATCTATCTGTGAAAAGTTGAAAACCTGTGTACGGAGCAGTATAGTTTGAGGGGCTGACCATACCATACAACTACCGCTTAACTTTTACTGTATGTGGATCTATATCCCTAGTCTTGGTAATTATTTGCGATATTTGCGACTCTTGATCGACTAGAGGAACCTCCAGGAAAATATGCTAGCCATCAGAGCTACATGTCCTGCTAGTGTGGTAATGGTAATAATAAACAATATAACTCCCCTTCTCCGGTCTATATTCTTTAGGAGTAAATATATACCCGATATAAAGCAAATTTTAACACTTTTCACAGAAAATTCAAGGGCCCATTTGACCCGCTAAATATTGACCGATCTTTATCAAACTCGGCATGCTTTTTCTTTGGCCTAATCCCCCATCTCCATGTAAAATTGTGATGTTGGGGTTACAATTTCTACCAGAAAACCCGACAAAATTTGGTCCCCTAAATATTAAAGGATAACTTCCAATAGGGGTCTTCTCTGGCCAGAACCGGTTCTATATGCAAAATTTCGTGAATATGGGTCCATAACTGTGGCCTATATCATGTTTACAAATTATAATGGACAGACGGACGGGTACACAAGTGTAGATCGACTCAGCTAGTCAAGATATGAGTGGGTCTACGACCAATATTTCGCTGTGTTACAAACTCTTAAAAAGCTATAATACCCTGACAACATAGTTGTGTAGGGTATAAATAGGAACAAGGCCCTTAAGTCAAGTCAAACTCTTGTGGCGCAGATATGGAAACCTTGTTGGCTATTTATAAAGCGATTGATCGGACTATGCACAACTATGCGTTCTGAGGTTTGCGAATACTAGTGAGACGCAATGAAGAAGTATTCAGACCTGTCAGAACGCATCCCTGACAACTCCAAAACGCAGCCCTGACACCTGTGGGCTATCAACATGAGGAGACGACGCACTACCTGCTCAGGTGCTTCAGAGAGAATCATCCTCATCATCATATAATCGATAGAACTCCACCACCCAGGCGTGTTAGGAAGGATCTGCATGATCTATGGAGAGAGATAGGTCCAACATTATAAAAGTGAGCTTCTAGATCATGATGTCTATCGAGCAGGTCTGAATAACATTCACAACGTTACCGCGAAGTTATGGTTCTAAATTAATACATGGTGGATGCCGTCCTTGAAGCTCACTACTGAATAACGTCAGCTGCCTTGACGAAATAGAGTAGTTTTAACTCAATTACGCTCAAGGTGATGCAGTCGTCTGTATTTATTCAATTTCTCCGTCAAGCATACTCAACTTACTCCGGAAGATCTGTGGTTGCTGTCAGTGGAAGTAGCTGCATTTCATAATTTGGAGACAAATCCAGAACCTGAATAAATCAATCAAGAGAGAATAACTTCATATAAAACTGATACAAAAACTAAAAAAAACTTGGCGTATAATCCCCAATGGCGAATTTTCCAACCGAAGTGATTGTATTTTTGTGTGGTTGTAATTTACCATTCCGGGATTTTAATGGCTAAACAAATTCTTCACAGGACATATTCAATATAACGCGATATTTTCGCTCAAGTCCAATTATAGTATAGTATTTTGAATGTGCGATCAGGTCCGGTACAGTCGAACATAACGACGTTGGTTCTTTTTAAAAACCTTATTTTGAAAAAAAAAAAACAATAAACCAATTCCTATTGTTTTCTTTTTGTAGGTTCCGAAATGTATGTACATATGTATAATTATATTTCCGTACCAAACACACATGAAATAAATAATTGTCAGTAATGGCCAGACAATTCAACAGAAATAAAACTTTAATTGAATGAAAAATAAAATAAAAATTAAAAAAAAAAACAAAACTCGAACCTCAAAATGAAATGAAATAAAATACAAATTTGGTTTGCTGTTGAAATACATATTCGTATGGTGGGGAGGAGGTTTTGATTCGTTTTTGGCTTTATTATTATACCCATACCCGTCAGCCTGCCTGCCTGCCAGTATTGTTATTAAATTGTACAATTGTAGATAGAGGCACTCGCACACATCGAACGAGGCAAGCGAACGCACTTAATTCGAAATTGTGAACAAAAACAAGTTGAAATTTAATTTAATAATAAAAAAAGAAGAAATATTTATTATTATTATTATTTCGTTTTTGTATTTATTCATTTGTTAAAGTTAAGTTAAAATATGGGCAGTATGAATATGCGTAAATGCACAAACACACACATGCATTGCTAGTAATATGAGTGATGGCAGTTTCTTTTATAAATTTCCCCCCTTCCAAATTCACAAAATTAAATATTTTTCACACATAAAAACATATGTATGTGTGTGTGTGTGTTTCCATGTTTGTCTTCTTTATTTCCTTCCCTTCATTGTTCATTGAACTACCGCACTTTCCCTTCGCTTCCCCTGGCAAAACATATCACCAAACCATTGTCTTCATATTTAATTTTTGTTTTTGTATTTTCATTTCGTTTTTATTGTTTACTTGTCTTCGTTTGTTTCTTTTTCATTTCTCAAGCTCTTTTATTTATTTATTATTTGATTTAATTGAAAATCTCAACAATTTTGATATTAAATTTAATAAAAAAATGTGTTTTTTCTCGCACAAAAAATTATTTGCACTGAAACCCCGAGCCAACAGCCCCGGCTCCACCACCGCTACCACAGTCTTGAGACTGTAGCTGGCAAAGAGTAGAGTGTGCACTGGTTTCATATGACAACAAAAATGACGACAATAACAATAACAGCAACAACATCAGTAACACTAATAATAATAAAGCTAATAACAATAATAAACAATTCTGTTGATTTCATGATGAAATTTTCAACAATTAATAACAGAAAAAATGGTTCAAATTTTTTGTTTTTGCAATTTTTTATTTATGCTCAAATAAAAAACTTTGATTTAGCAATTAATTTAATCGGAGGAAATATTGAGAACAAGAAATCTGATCGATATATTTACTGCGTGTGTTGAAATTGTGGTACAA